CTTTATGTTCGACCTTGTCTTGCCTAATATGTGCATAGGCCACACAACCAAATACTTTCAGTCTGTCGAGACTAGGTGGATGTCCCGACCAAACTTCTTCTGGTGTCTTCATTCCCAAGGCAGTCGAGGGACATCTATTTATCAGGTAAGTTATTGTCGAAACAACTTCCGCCCAAAACACCTTCTTCAATCCAGCACTAACCAACATGCATCTAACCCTTTCAAGGATTGTTCGATTGAATCTCTCAATTAAGCTATTTTGTTGAGGAGTACCTGCTACAGTCTTATGCCTTGCAATCCCAGACTCAACACAATAACTGTCGAATGCTTCGTTGCAGAATTCAAGGTCATTGTCGGTTCTCAACCTCTTAAACTTTCTCCCAGTTTGAGTTTCGACCAAAATCTTCCAACTTTTGAAATTCTCAAAAGTTTCATCCTTCGTCTTCTGAATGAATACCCATAGTTTTGTGGAATAGTCGTCAATGATTGATACAAAATATCTTGCACCTGAGTGGGAAGGATTCCTTGCAGGCCCCCAAAGATCAGCATGAATGTAATCCAGGGAACCACGTGTTCTTTGCTTGCCTTTGTTAAACTTTGCCCTATAAGATTTACCAAATACTCCAATTTGTCGACTTTGTCACCTCCTAGCAAGTTCTTCTTCCCCAATTCGACTAGGCCTCTTTCGCTGACATAGCTCAATCTCATGTGCCATAATTCTGTCTTCGAAATAGGTTTCGTGGATGCAACATTTGTCGAACCACTTACAACCTCATCCTCAAGGGTATATAAGCCTTGTTTCTTCACGCCTCTCAAGACTTCCTTCGACCCCTTCATGACTCTTAGGATACTTTTCTCTCCTTGAAAAACATATCCCTTTCTGTCGAATTCACCAAGAGAAATCAAATTTCTCTTTAAGTCAGGTACATACCTAACTTCAGTCAATAACCTTATTGACTCATCATGGAGCTTGAGTCTCACAGATCCAATACCTGCAATTTTGCAAGATTTGTTGTTTCCCAGCAGCACAGATCCACCATCTTGATTACATAGCTCCTCGAACAATTCTCTGTTTAGAGTCATGTGCCAAGTGCAACCTGAATCCATAATCCACTCTTTTCTCGAGTCGCTACTTGAAACCACAAGAACATCAGATGAGTCAAAGTCACCTTGAACGATGGCTGCGTTGCCATTACCTCAATGGTCTTTCAGGCATTTAGGGCACACATTTGTTATGTGACCCTCCTTCTCACAGTGATAACACCAAATATCATATGTTTCGCCACTATAAGACTTATGTTGACTTTTACCTTTCTTCTTGTCGAACTTACCATCCTTTCATAAGAATTTTCCCTTAACGGCCAAACCTTCGCCCACCGTCGAAGGTTTATTCTCTTTTTGTTTGTTCAAGTCCTTAGAATACAAGTCTGATTGAACTTCTTCAAAGGTCAGGGACTCCCTTCCATACAAGAGAGTTTCTTTGAAGTGAGCATGTGTTTTGGGCAAAGCACACAGCAGCAACAGTGCTTGATATTCATCATCGATCTTCACATCAATATTTTCAAGATCAAGAATCAGCTTGTTGAACATATCCAACTGCTCAGCCAACACTTTGTCTTCACTCATCTTGAATGAATACAATGCTTGCTTTAGGTAGAGTCGATTGACCAGAGATTTAGTCATGTACAAACTTTCAAGTTTCACACATAATCCCGATGTTGAAGTCTCCTTTGATACCTGTCGAAGAACCTTATCACCAAGGCTCAACAATATTGCGCTGTGGGCTTTCTTGATTATGCCCATCTTTTCTTTTGTCGTTAACACAACGTCCATGGTTGCCTCATCCTTCAACGCTTCCAAACAACCCTGTTGAACTAGTAGGGCTTTCATCTTCAAGCGCCACAGACCGAAGTCGTTCACTCCAGTGAACTTTTCAATCTCATACTTTGTTGAAGACATCTTCTCCATGCTCACCGCACCAATTTATTGTGAATCAGATACCTTAAAACTAAGTATAAACAGTTTCTTAATGATTAAGAAACATACAAGGGTTAGGGTTAATAAAGAAGAAAACAACAAGGATTGGTTATTAAACTGCTATTCTTTCATTTCTCTTAGAACAAGATTACAAGTATACAAGAATAACAAAATAACCTTTCTCTCTTGAAATTAGGATTTTATCTTCCTATTTTTCCTTGTCTCAAGATTGAGAAACTAACATCCTATTTATAAGAAAAATAGCACATTAACCTAATGGGCTTTTTAACAATTATCCATTACAAGCTAACTTAGGGTATAAGGTAACTAAAAAAATTGGGTTTACAAGCAATGCCCAATTCAACATGCTAACAACCCTAGCAATATTGATTAATGCATGTTAGAACAGACTTCAACTACAACACGCATTACTCGCGAACAGACTTCGACCATACTAGAGTTCAATCCAACATATCACAACTATCTTTATATATTTAATTAATATTAAATGGTCAAAGTTTCCACATGAGATGCCATATATGAGTTTAGTCACAAGAAATTTGTCATGTGGTGTGCCACATCATCTTTAGTTAATGGAAATTAATTGGAGGAACCATTAGACATGACAAAAAACAAAGAGTGGACCACTAACTTCTTCATGCGATTTACTAGGTGATAAATTTGTTTGACAAATAAGTAGTCATCTTAACCTCATAAAATCATATTCAACTCCACTTTCGTTAATCCTAAGTTTTTTGTGAAATTCTGGCATCAGATATTAGATGTCGAAGGAGATGTTCACGACACAAATATCTGTTTGTCAAGAACAAAGAACACGGCTAAACAAATAACAATTAAAAGAGACACAGTAATTGTTAACCGAGTTCGGTGAAACACACCTACATCTGGGGGCTACCAAGTCAGGGAGGAAATTCACTATCAGCAAAATTAATTTAGAGCTAAACTCCCAGTTTACAACTCCTCACTTAATCTCTATCCAATGCAATTTCCGCCTAGAACCCACTAGACGAGAGACACCTCTCACTCCTCCTCAATCACAGCAGTGATAACTTTCAATACAAAAAGAAGATTTTAGAAGACACACTTCAAAGTCACAACTTGATCTTGCTTAAAAGCTTCAATCAAGTACAATACACTATTGCTTAAAAGCTTTGAGTGAACAATTAAGAAATTACAATTAACAACCTAGTCCAATTCACACATTAAGCAATGAGTGAATGACTCACAAAAACTAACACACAAGAAACCTAAACTCTAATCAGATGCATAAGGTTTTTAATCTTTGCTTCTCTGATCTTCAAGCTAGGGTTTCAGCCTCTATAACTAGTAGTGCAGAATGGGCTTGGGCTATGCCAAAAGTAACAACAACAATCTTCATAAACAGCAGCAATCAATCAGATTTGATTTGACTAATCAAATCTAATCATATCAATCTTCAAATCTGCAAATGATTTCCTAATATTAAATCTAAATCAAATCCAATCTGATCCACAGAAAGTGCATCAGAAACGCATGCATTAACACACTAGAAACACGCTGTTTCCACATCAGACAGGTGCAGCCAGCTTGCACAAAAAGATATGCTCACACAAACATTCATACATAATATTTAGATCATGAATGTCAAGACACCTTATTTGACATCATGAGAAAACCTCTTACACAACATAAAAAGCAACCTGCTAATTTCTGACTACAGATGTCACGGCATACTGTAGGACATCTTGTGATTCCTTTTAGTTTTACCAAAATACATGTCAATCAAGAACTAACATTTTGTGAGAAATAATCCTTCATAAACTTTGTCTTTGCTTGAAACACACTTTTGTATTCTTTCTTTTATTTAGAGTCTGTCTTATATTTTTAATATGCTTTTAGTTTTTTTTCAAATTTTGTTTGTGTTCAGATTTGACTTCTTCAGAGTCTAAATCTATTTCCTTTTATCTGTGCATTTAACAAAAATAATCAGAGTACAAAATTGTTCTATACACTTTGTTATTATCAAAATTTAAGGATAGTTGTAGAATCAAACTTGTTATATCTAAATACTTTTAATTCTTTCTCCATCTGCAATTTCTTCATCTAACAAATGATTCAAACTTGTTTCAAGATGTTCGAAAGTTTGAATGTTCCAAAAAAATATTTTCATCGAAGATTTCGTTATCGAATAAAACACATGCCCATTTCTTCTAACAATCATGATATAACTATTGGAGTTAAGAAGATGTGTGGTGTGGAGTGGATATTAAAAAACATTTTTATTTATAGGAAAATAAAAGCATCCAACATATTATTGCTAGTTGAGATGGCGCCACCCTTTAGAATGCACATAGGTGTTAATTCAACTACCACCACTTAAATCACATATCAATATTGTTAATTAGATTGATTAGACCATATAAAGTCATCAATTCAATTAGCACTTCCATTTAATTTTACAGTGAACGCTCCAATTTTTCTAGCACTGACTCTGCGTTTTAATTTTTTGTTTTGTTTGAAACTAGGATAGATTAAAAATTTATTTGAACCCTAGGTTAGTTTGAAAATAAAATTGAAAATGGGGATTATTGGGCAAATAATTTGAATTTTGTACCAAAAATAGAAATATAATATTTTAATAAATTTAGTTAACTAACTAAAAATAAAAACTTTCAGTTCCAAAATAAGGGTAACGTAAGTATAACACGGTCCTTCATTGCTCTCTTATACTCTGCTGTGTTTGAAGGTCACTTCATTTTCAGATTCAACCGCACAAACCCTAACGTCTCTTTTGCTCGCTCAACAAGGTTTTCATCTATTTCACTTATTTTTTCATGCTAATTCAAGTAACGAAATTCAAAATTACGTTAGTCTCTTAGAGCTTACAAATGATTATCATTTTCTGAATACTAGATTATTAAAAAACAAATTTATCATGAATATCTTCTGAAACCCTAAAGCAGTGATTGTTGATTGTGCCAAATTTGCAGTTAATTTGGGGGATTTCACTGTTCAATTGAGTTATGATGGAATTTGATGAGTACGAATATTTAGAGAAAACAGTTGATAATTCTGAGCTTAAGAACAAGAACCTAATTTCTAATGGTGGGGAAAAGAATTTGAAATCTGATGATAGAGTTCGTAGTAGAAGCTCCAAGCATAAGGATAGTGAGAAGGATGATGATGATGATGATGTTGATAATCGTTTCAAGCATTTAAAATCGGGAGATGGTTCTCGTGGTTATGATAGGCAGAAAGAGAGAGGCTCGTCTCGGCGTCGTTCAGGGTCTAGAGATGGAGACAAGGAGAACGATCAGCGGAGAAGCTCTCAGGGTAATGGGGATAGGAAGAGAGATAGGGAGAGAGAGAGTGAGAGCAAGTATAGAAGGGAGAGAGACAGAGACCAGGAGGTTGAAAGAGAGAGAAGGAGTCGAGGGAGTGAGGGTGAAAGAGAGAGAGAACACTCTCGGAGAAGCAAAAGTATATCGGAAAGGAATCGAGGTGATGTGGATAAGAGAACCCGAGAAACAAGTCGTGATAGAGGAATGAAAAGGGACACAAAGGATTACAGAGACAGAGGAATGGGAAGGGTCACGAAGGAACCAGATAGAGAAAAGTTAGAAAACAGGTATTATTTCTCATTTAAATTTTTTTTATCATTTTAGCGGCTGTGTAGATTATACGAAAATAACTATGGTTGGCGGTGATAGTCTTGTGATTTAGTTGAGCATTGAATTGGATGTAGAAAAGATAGAGAAAAGCTATTTACTCAAAAACATTTGTTTATTTATCCATAACATATTCTTCTGTTTATAATAAATCAAATTTCCTAATACTTTCTAGTTATGACCTAACCAAGTTCATCGTGAAGCACAGTTGTCTAAGACACATGCCCGGAGCATTTCTTTAATAGCTTAAGCTTTTTGGTAGAGAGTTGAACCAATATAAGATTAGAACCTAGTTGACCAAGTGATCTAGAATTTTGTCCCTATTGTCATAGTCTTACAGTTACAGTGCAAGTTGCGGGTTGTGGACTTGAAATTTATCAATGTTTCTACTCTCTAGTCAGAATGATATTTATCTTTGGGAGTATATATCTGGGCCCTATCTATATTTTCAGGTCTAATTGCTTGTTGATCAATCCTTTATTATTTAATTACTTCCTTCATTCTTTTATCAGACTTTTTGCTAGTGGATAAATCTAAATTCTACATTCACCTTCAGCCACCATCTTTGTCAATGCTATAGTTCTGGTTAAGTTAACATTGTAGTTTGGTCATCAGATTGATTGCAGGATACCCTAAAGGTCATGCTTATGTTGAAGGAGACTGTTTTCAGATTTTTTATTTATTTTTCCTTCTTTAAGTTTAAGCCAATGTTTTGCTATTGTATTTATTCATGGGAATTCTAAGTCACGAATTGTTGTCTACTTTGAAGTCATTTATTGTATTTAATTTAATGAATTTTAAAGGATGGATTGTTGGCCACTTGGACCTTGGTAGTTAGGTGGCATTTGATCTGATTCTGAACCCTTTTAGAACCCGGTTTATGCATTTTAAGGTGGTACTGGTGATGCAAATGCAGATATATTCACTTTTAGTTTTGCCAAGCGTAGATAATTGTAAACGTGTTATCCTCTTTGGAAGTAGAGTTTAACCACCCACTCATCATTTTTTATAGATGGCATTGATGTTTTGTCCTTCCTGATCTGCTGCCAATCATTATTTGGACTTATGTTCATGAATTATGTCCTTGTTTGTAACAATGTTATCAAATTGCGGTGCCATGGCTGCTATGGCGGATATACATGGTGGTTTTTGGGCTTGCCGCAATGGTAAATGTTGGCCAATATTGCAATTTTTTCTGCCATAATCCGCTATAATGGTGCCGCAAAGTGGCCAGTATGGTGGGGTATTGGCTCTCCGCCATAGACCACCATCCGCCATCAACAACGCTGGTTTGTAAACAATCACTTCTCTTGCATTTCATCTGTACTGTTAGAGTCACTGATAGGTGGCTAATACCTGTTCCTGAGTTGTGTATTAGTTATGCTGTTCAACATTCTTAAAGCTTCGGAATATTGACCATTAGATTCTGGGAACTCGCAGATATGGTAGAGTGAGCATCTGCTGGTCTTTCTGGCATTTGGGACAGGCCTTGGAACTATAGATCATGGGTTTCAAAATTTCTCCCTTCCAGAGTGCATCTGATCTGAATGCACGCATCACAATATTTTGGGGCGGGGGCAGTTTGAATGTTTGCTGTAGCAGTGTGATACCATGTTATTTGTTATCCTCCCCCTTTGAACTTAGTTGCTTAATTGCATTTGTTCTGTTGCAGAAATGCTGGTGAGGGAGTAATGGACTATGCTTAAGAGAATCAATTCATCTTCTGATGCCTGTGGGCAAAAACAATGTTCATTTGGCTACATATTGGTTGCAGTTTCTGTTTATGCATGTAATAGATTGGTGTTTGTTTTGATTAATTATGAGATACTAGAGTAGAGTTTAGAAGGTTCTCCAATTAGCGTTCTTTTTCACTTTTACACAATTAGTTCATAAGTTCTTTTTTGAGAGAATGACTTTTGCAACTAATGAAGTCCTTATATGTCTTTTGTTCATGGCTAGCCCCGGGTGCTGAACATTACTACTTTTTTCCTCATTGCATCTTTTGCACCTAGACATCATTGATGTGATAAACAAAGCCTTTGATCTTGACAATCTTGGATTTTAGAGATTTATCTACTGCGAGACATGTTTTTTCTTTTTTGATGTTTCATGCTGTCCTGTTGCTGCTGATTCTTACAACATATTCAATTATGTCATTGGAGACATCTTATATAGAACTATTTTCATATATGGAATTGATTTTTTTCTTTATGCTTGTGTTTTCTCTTAGTCAGTATATATAAAAGTTTAAGTTTTAACAGGTTTCAACTTAATGCTATTAGGTCCCTCAACCTCTTGAATTGTCATCCATCCAAGTTGGAGGTGCTATTCCAATATAACTTTTTAGTTTTATTGATAAAAGGTACAAAATCTTGTGTTAATAGCAATTGGAAGACATTCACTCCCTTTAATTACTATTTACCACTATCTCCAGGTTTGGTTCTTTTAAATTCAAGAAGCTAAGACGTCAATTCAAAACTATGTTACCTGGGGATTTCTTGTTAACGTAACCTAGTTCCCTGCAGGCCTCTGTCCAGTGAAACTGGGCTTTATTATAGATATATAAAGACAATTTGCTTATATGTTGCATATTTAAAAAATCTGAAAATTTGTGTTGGGAAGCTATGGTTTATAACTTTATACAATAATTTTTACATAAATATTTTATACAATAATTTGTTACATAAATATTTTATTATTATTTTCAAACTTGAACTGTATCGACAATTTCGATTGTATTCCTATAACTTGGACTGTAATTGTGTTTTGTATATTGCAGACGGCATAAAGAGAAAAAGGAAGATGCAGCTGAACCTGAGACTGACCCTGAAAGAGATCAAAGAACTGTGTTTGCTTATCAGGTATTCCTACTATGTCTGGAATGCAATAACATGATCTGTTTTGTTCATAAATTTACTGCCAGATCTAATTTTGAAAGCATTTTCACAGATATCTCTTAAAGCGGATGAAAGAGATGTTTATGAGTTCTTCTCAAGGGCTGGGAAGGTTCAATATTTCATACTTCCATTTCCTTTTTTAGCTAGCATCAAAATTGAATTATTTTGCTACTGTAGTTTGCATTTATCTTGGAATATAATAAATGAAAAGGAAGTTGTATGTTATTAGCGGAAAACACTCTGTTTCCTTTTGACCTTTGAAATATATGGTTTGAAAGGCATGGAATGCATTTTTGTTATTATCAAGTAAAACATTGGAAGGAAATCCAGTTTTGTCACCAACTCAATTTAAAACACACACACAAAAAAAAAAACTCAATTTAGTTTTAATTCATTATAGTGTAAAGAGTTTCACACATCAGTCAGCCCTTGGTACCTCTTGTTTGGAAAACATCAATTGAAAGTGGAATAATATGGTCATCATAATATCCCAATCGCCGAGTTTTTACTTTTGCACCCTTTCTTGTCATTGAAAAAGCCATTTGTTCTTTAACCTTTTTTTTTACATCTCTGGTCTACTGTTTCCAGGTGCGAGATGTTCGCTTGATTATGGACCGCAATTCAAGACGTTCTAAAGGTGTTGGGTAAGCATCAGATAACGAGATTCAATGTCTAGTTTTGAAAACATTTTGATATCATGTAACTTTTAATTTTATTTATTTTAAAAAATTATGGAAGGGCTAATTTTTATTAATTATAGTAGCACTAATGACCATTTTCCAACTGTCCTTGAGGGGATTAGAAGTAGGATCTTGAAGTTACTAGGCTTAAGCTCTTATCGCTGAGCTAGCACATCAAGTGTTAATTGAATATGACTTACTGGGAACAAATATCTAATTCATTTTAATACTTTAATTAAAGGTTTATTATTAGTAATCTTGTGTTTCTTTTTCTAATTTCATAACTTCAAATATAGTACAACTCCTCCATGGAGACTAACTGCATTATATTATTCCTTATCTAAATGTATGTAAAATAAAATCTCATATTTCAGTATTAAAAAATTGCTGGTTCATTCAATTCAATGTAGTTTTTGTTGGGATATTTTGTTCACCAAAGTTTTTTACATACATCAGTGTTACTTTATATATTATTTTCCTTAAGTAATGATTTTATATTTAATATGTGAGGATTTAATTTTCTCTTCTTGGCGTCGTTTGATCCATGTAGGCCACTCCACTTAGTGGGGTAAGGCTTGGTGGTGGTTGTTGTAATAAAGGAAAATAATAATATTAGGACTGAAGATCCTAGAATTACTTGTTCAGTCATGTTTCTTACCCAACAGAGGTTATATTTCTTGCATATATCAATTTTCATTGTATCATCATGTAAGGTCTACATGCACTACTGAGTCATTTTATTCTTGAATACAGTTAATACATGCACCAGTGCCTATTAATGCTATTAACTTAAAAGTCTCATTTTGAACCATCAAATTGACATCACAATTTCATTTATGAAATGTTTTCTGTTTAATAAATTAACTAATGGTCCTGATGTTTGTACTGTTTTTTTCTGCCTTCACATTTGCAGGTATATTGAGTTTTACGATTCTATGTCTGTTCCCATGGCAATAGCACTCTCAGGTCAACCAATTCTTCGTCAACCAGTGATGGTGAAGCCATCAGAAGCAGAAAAGAATTTGGTTCAATCTACAGCATCTGTTGCCAATGGACCTTCTGGAAATTTGGGTCCTTATTCTGGGGGTGCAAGAAGGCTATATGTTGGCAATCTGCATTCCAGTATTACTGAAGCTGATCTTCATAGGGTAAGCACATCTGGTTTATTTTTTCCTTGGATAATTTTCTGGTGCATTTTATGATTGATTCTCTAGAGCTGGTAGACTGAAAGGGATCCTTATAATATGATGCATTGTTGAGAGTAGAATGAGACACATTCCTGGTTTTATCCTCCTTTTTTTGTTTGTACCTCTTTTTAATAATGCTACTTTTTAAAAATTATTTAAAAGTCGAGAATGATGGTATTTTTCATCAACATATTTGCTTCCAATTGGTTGCTTTTATTTTATTTTATTTTTTTCACATGAAATTGTTTAGGTCTTTGAAGCATTTGGTCAAGTTGAGCTAGTTCAGCTGCCTCTTGATGAAATTGGGCATTGCAAAGGTTTTGGCTTTGTGCAGGTGAATCTTATAGTTAGTTTTTTGACCAAGTTAACTTGTCAACTTTTTATTTTATTATTAAACATCCTTTAATTGATCAGCTGCTCATATCTTTTGCGGAAGCTGCTTTTAATGAATTAAACTGAGGGAGAACTTGGATTTGGACCAAGCCAAATTCAACTCCAGCCAAATATTGGGGTTTTGACTAGTCCAGCCAAGCCAAACACTTTAGGTTTACTTGGACGCACCGAATTTAAATATTGAGCATAGCTTGTTTTAGAATACAAGGCCTAAGCTTGGATAGTTTAGTTTGTATAATACTTATTGGTAGATGTAATAAATAACATTGCAGCTCTCTAATGCACACATTCACCAGCTATTTGAGAGCTATGGACGTCATCATGCCTACAAAAGTTTAACTTGGATCATTTAAAAAAAAATTAAGTCTACCTTGGGAGTTTGAACATGATTTTTTTGCTGAACATATGAGCTTTATGAAGTATGTAAAGAATTCAGCTCGAATATTTCACTATGTTTGTAATTTTTTACTCATGGATGAAGTTGTGGTTGCTACTCGGCTATGATGCTATTCTAATAATAAACTGTTCTATGTATGATATGCTCACTGCATTTGTTTTTGGCAGTGTAAAGTTAATTGTATCTATTACTTACTGTAGTTTGCCCGCCTAGAAGATGCAAAAAATGCTCAGAGCTTGAATAGCCAATTGGAGATTGGTGGCAGGACAATCAAGGTACTGTTGATTTGCTCATAAATTTGAGCTTAGTTGGCCTTCTTTTACTAATATTAAACTCAATTTGCTAAATATAAGTTCCTATTAAATAAAACTTATAAAATTTTAATTACTTAAATGTGAGAGCGAATAAATCGCTTATGGCCAGTTTAATTTGTATCTTGATTTTGTGGTAGATCTAACTGGATTATAGATTTTGTATAACCAATTAAGTGCAATTTCTAATCATCGTTGTCGTGTTGCTGGATTTACTCTACCATCAGGATTCTTGATGATATATGATCCCATTGTTTAAATAACGGAAATTAAGAAAGCTTGGATTTATATTAAATTTGTTAAGAATTGATATTATTTGTATATGTTTAACCTTCAAGATAGAGAATAAGTTTATGTTATAGTATTTATTATTGTTTGCAGAAAAAAGGTAAAATAATTAGGGGTATGTTTGTAAAAAAAATTGATATTCTTGATTTTTTACCTATTTAAAGTTATGTTAAGCAAGAATAAGTATTGGTTGTGCTAGAATAGTGTTAGGTTTGGAACTGGAAAATTAAGAAATGTAGTATTATTACTATGGATCTGTCACATATATTAGTGTGATCTCAATATGATAGGATTGTGTGCATAATAGAAGAAAATATTGGCGCCTTTTGGTAAATAAACTATCAACCAGAGGACATTCTTGGATTATGGTATAATCCCAGGAAACTAAAATAATTGAAAAATAACAATGAATAGAACGGAGTAATGCTCCTTGCATAATAAAGAATGGAAAATACACAAGAATGAAATATCCCCTTTTTGAAAGGAGGACCAGCTTCTCTCCTCTGTCTAACATGTGTACTGGTGGTTTGGATTACCCTTCTTAAATTGTCAG